ATGGTGCCGTCTCTGCATGCTTTGAGAAGCTCTCAGTGTTTTTTTTCTGTGCCCAGAGGTACGATTTCAGTTCTCTGGAAATTTGTGAGGCGGCACATTTGGTCTTTAGGCGCTATAAGGATGCTGTAGCCCCGTCTTACCCAGGCTTGGAAATAATACCACTGCCTGAGTTTGAACTTTAACTGAAGTAGCTTGAAAGGTGACAGCCTGCATCCTACAGCTTTTCATTGATGCTAACTGCACACAAGGAAAACATCTGTGGGAGGATAGCAAAGCTTTTTCACTCCTGATTCTTTTCTCCCACCGCTCAGTGCCACTCTTCTCGTAGCAGGAAATAACTTGGAGATTATGGAATGAAGTGGTACAGAGGAGAAGTAAGGGAACGTGGAGGTATTTTGGGATTTGGATGTTCTCTATCATGAAAATGTAACCATTGTTATTGATGGAGTGGTCCAGACTACTATAGCAGCAGGATAACTTCATTACAGATGTTTGAGATGGAAGGTTGAATTTGCTTTTGAGAGAACATAGGAAACCGCTACTGAGACATCTGTGTGTCCAGGTAGGCAACATGCTTAAAACTTGAGGGCAAGAGTCTTCTTTCCTGTGTGATTTTAAATAAATAGATAAATAACAAAAAGGGATAGGGAGTGAGGAGCTCTCATCCTGCATGCAGATGACTGACAATTCTGTGCTACATCCTCAATTTTTTGTCTGATGTTTGATAATCAAATTTTACCTTTCAGGTCCAGAGACACCATATTAAATCCACAAATTATTCTGGTTGATTACACACCTTTCTCACTTTGTTTAGTGTATGTAAATTACACCTTTATTATTGGCCTTTTCCTTAGAAAACAATTTGATCACAGTAGGAAAAGCACAGGTGTAAATAATAAAATGTATGATGACTGAATTCCATTTGGTTTCACTGTCCTGGTATTGTGCATGCTGGCTCACTATCACTCTTTTATGACTTACTGGGACCTATTGTGACAAATCAAAATGTCTGCTGTAAAAAGGCCTTTTCTAGAGTCCAGTGACCTCATGTAATTCCCAGCATAGCTGTGCCTACTTTGAACCTGAGCAGAGGAATATTCATCCACAATTGGAAACACCTCTGTGGCTGTGCATGGTCTTTAAAGGGTAAACAGCAGCACTATTTATATTGAGGAGACTCTGGCATTTTTCCTTACTGAATATGCCCTCAAAAGATGGGGATTATCTTTTCTGAGTGCTAATTTAGAAGCCCTGCTAAAGGCAGCCTCTCTGTATCCTGTAGGTGTACCAGTGAACCCAGAGTTGTAATTGGTATATTACCTTCTGTGAGCTTTGAGTAACAGCCTTTGATCCTCTTTGCTGATGCAGTTTGTCTGGTGTATGTTATCATGAATTCTCTTTTTTTCTCTGTCCATATGGATATGATAATTGCCAGATCTCCGAAAGCAGACATACAGTGGGTACGGAAAGTATTCAGACCCCTTTAAATTTTTCACTCTTTGTTTCATTGCAGCCATTTTCCAAAAATCAAAAAAGTTCATTTTATTTCTCAGTAATGTACACTCAGCACCCCATCTTGACAGAAAAAAACAGAAATGTAGAAATTTTTGCAAATGTATTAAAAAAGAAAAACTGAAATATCACATGGTCATAAGTATTCAGACCCTTTGCTCAGTATTTAGTAGAAGCACCCTTTTGATCTAATACAGCCATGAGTCGTTTTGGGAAAGATGCAACAAGTTTTTCACATCTGGATTTGGGTATCCTCTGCCATTCCTCCTTGCAGATCCTCTCCAGTTCTGTCAGGTTGGATGGTAAACGTTGGTGGACAGCCATTTTCAGGTCTCTCCAGAGATGCTCAATTGGGTTTAAGTCAGGGCTCTGGCTGGGCCATTCAAGAACAGCCACGGAGTTGTTGTGAAGCCACTCCTTCGTTATTTTAGCGGTGTGCTTAGGGTCATTGTCTTGTTGGAAGGTAAACCTTCGGCCCAGTCTGAGGTCCAGAGCGCTCTGGAAAAGGTTTTCGTCCAGGATATCCCTGTACTTGGCCGCATTCATCTTTCCCTCGATTGCAACCAGTCGTCCTGTCCCTGCAGCTGAAAAACACCCCCACAGCATGATGCTGCCACCACCATGCTTCACTGTTGAGACTGTATTGGACAGGTGATGAGCAGTGCCTGGTGTTCTCCACACATACCGCTTAGAATTAAGGCCAAAAAGTTCTATCTTGGTCTCATCAGACCAGAGGATCTTATTTATCACCATCTTGGAGTCCTTCAGGTGTTTTTTAGCAAACTCCATGCGGGCTTTCATGTGTCTTGCACTGAGGAGAGGCTTCCGTCGGGCCACTCTGCCATAAAGCCCCGACTGGTGGATTGCTGCAGTGATGGTTGACTTACTACAACTTTCTCCCATCTCCCGACTGCATCTCTGGAGCTCAGCCACAGTGACCTTTGGGTTCTTCTTTACCTCTCTCACCAAGGCTCTTCTCCCCCGATAGCTCAGTTTGGCCGGATGGCCAGCTCTAGGAAGGGTTCTGGTCGTCCCAAACGTCTTCCATTTGAGGATTATGGAGGCCACTGTGCTCTTAGGAACCTTAAGTGCAGCAGAAATTGTTTTGTAACCTTGGCCAGATCTGTGCCTTGCCACAATTCTGTCTCTGAGCTCTTCAGGCAGTTCCTTTGACCTCATGATTCTCATTTGCTCTGCCATGCACTGTGAGCTGTAAGGTCTTATATAGACAGGTGTGTGGCTTTCCTAATCAAGTCCAATCAGTATAATCAAACACAGCTGGACTCAAATGAAGGTGTAGAACCATCTCAAGGATGATCAGAAGAAATAGAAAAACAGCACCTGAGTTAAATATGAGTGTCACGGCAAAGGGTCTGAATACTTATGACCATGTGATATTTCAGTTTTTCTTTTTTAATAAATTTGCAAAAAATTCTACATTTCTGTTTTTTTCTGTCAAGATGGGGTGCTGAGTGTACATTACTGAGAAATAAAATGAACTTTTTTTGATTTTTGGAAAATGGCTGCAATGAAACAAAGAGTGAAAAATTTAAAGGGGTCTGAATACTTTCCGTACCCACTGTATACAGCTAATTGGAAGCTCCTATAAATTGTGCAGTGGAGACTTGTAAAGCACAGTAGGAAACAAAGAACAGAATATGTGGATTGGGGTTTTATTCAAAATCAATTAGATGGCGTGACTTCAAAGATTTTGGCCTAAATGACTCCACTGTCTGGGCACACTGATTATTTGTGTTCTAGTTGCATTCTTAGTAATTGTGTTGCAGATACTTTAGTATCTAAGATTCACCTATTACACAACAAAACAGCCGCTGCTGAGGGGTTACATGGTTGATAGACCAGTATTTTGCTATACAGGTTCTATATGATTGCAGTCATGGCTCACTATCTTGCTATCCTGCAGCAATATCAATTATGCAATATCTTTATATAGATTGGTTTTATGGTAGCGCAAAACCTTTTTTAAGCTGAGTTGACCTTAAGGGCAGTAATTTTCTTGCTAAGATACTGTCAGGGAAAATAGATAATTAGAAAGAAATAATTGATGTGGAATTATCAAACTAGCTGACATTTTTTAAGTTTAATTAGGAAATAAAAAAGAATATTTTTATGTGGGCTACTTTTTGGATCTAGTCCAAGCACTCTTGCTAACTTGCTAACTTAAGCCTGATTGTAGTTATACTTAAATGGCTCTGAGCTCTGAGCTAATCCAGTTAGCAATCCTGTTGGTCTTTCCAAATCTTTTTTGAAACAGATATATATTTTGTTATTTTGACTTTGTATTTCAAGTTTTGGCTAATTTGTTTCTTGGCTCCACCCATTAATGTGTTACACCCAAAATGTATCTCTTTTGTATTGAACCCTCAAACCCTATAGGTTTCTGCCTCTTCCCCAATACACTGGAGGTGGGAATAAATCAGTGTGTGGTCCTCACAGTATTAAAAATTATACTTAAAAGCGCGCACAGCTCACAGAAGTTTTAGTCATCTTAAATTCACATCAGTTACAGCAGTTGTCGGGAGCAACTATACCTCCCAGTAACCACACATTTTGCATGTTTTAAGACAATCAACCGCCTATGAGTAACAAGACCTCAGATTGCATGGTACAACTTGTCATTCTGAACTACGGGTACTGCTATAAAGGAGGGAATGCTCCAACTTGACCCCAATGTGTCAGCCTCTGCTGATGAGGCATCTGGTTGACACCCTGTAACAATCGCTGGTGATATCAATCAGCACAGCAGATCAGAGAGAGAGCAGAATGCAGAAGAGCCATGCTAACATATTAAAGAGCAAGTACTGAGAGATTTCTCAAGTGAGGATGGGGGGTAGGGGCATTATCTGGGGGATGCTGAGCATTGTGAGAAAATGGGCATGCTAATGAGGGCCAAATACATCGTGAACAGCTGCATCACAAATGAGCTGACTTTGTACACTTGGGCTTGGATGAATCTCTGAAGTGTTGTTTGTTAATCAAAGGAGGAAAAATGGAGAGGAACAAATGACCAAAAATAGTAACTGAAAAGCCGAGTGCAGCTCATGCCTCTGATGACACACATACAGCTGTGGTAATCACTGTGAAAAGGTTACAATTATTATTCTTCACACTATGAAGGTAGGTTGAGGAACTATGATATGTACATTGACATTAAGCTGATGGATGCACAGCTACTCAATGTCCCAGGGTATGATTGCATCTATGGCTTTGTCTGGAAGAAGTAACCTGATCAAACGGCAAATAATCTGACTAGAGGCCACAGGATTTACCTCATCAATAATAGGAAAAAGTTAAATTCACAGCACTGCCCATCCTTATTCTCCTTACTGATTGGGGAAAAAGGACGCCCACATGTAGTGAACACTACTAAGATCAAAAGGTCATGGGAAAAGCTTTTGAGGAATGTGAGTGGAGGCCTGTTCAGTTTACCACAGGGCTATTCTGTGGCTGAAATAACACTTTAAATCCAGAATTTCAATAAACATTTATTTACAAAACAAAAATAATGACAAAGAATAATTTGAAGAGTAAATACAAAACATGTGCTAATATGATAAAATACATTATCATACACAACATATATCTTATGAATGTGTTAAATAAACTATGCTTAGACTTTTGGAATCTGAAAAGGCTGAGTTGAGGAAGCAGGCAGCCAGTCTTGGATTGCTTTACTTTATAGGGATTATTGCATTTCAGTTTGTGTTTAAGGCAAGGATGAGACATGGAAAGGAAACACTTCACAACAATGAAGCAATATTACTTTTCTCTTCATCACAGGGCACACTATCACATAAACATCAATGACTGAAGAGGAGGAAGACAAAAAAAGAGAATACTCTTTTTGTTAAAGAAATAGTCATGTGACAATTTTACAAATAGGATTGGTCCATATAAGAACACCTTTTAAGAGAACCAGTTTTCAAAGCCATGTGTGTGTGTGTCCTGCATTATGAAACAGTCCCTGCAGTTGTCAGATGAATAGTGTCCCATGATGTGCAGAGCACCATAATGACTTGGTGTCTTTGGTGCCTGATGTGCTGTACTGGTGGGTGTATTGGAGTCCACAGTCAGAGTCCTCTCCCTTTCATCGTACCGCCTGAGGTCTCTGCCTGTCCCCGTCTCTCTGATGCTGTCTTCAGTACGGGTACTGCTTCTGTTTCTTCCCTGCGAAACAGGACAGCCAGGTGCACAACAGCATGGCAGCTGCCGCCCCTGCCCCTGTGCAGTAATATGCCCAGCCGATCTGGCAGGAACCTGCAGAGGAAAGCGGAGGATTCAGAATTATATCTTTTCACAGGTTTTTTTTTTATCTGTCCGTCTGTTAGCAGGATATCTCCAAAAACACATGAAAGGATTTCAGTGAAAGTTTGACAGATAAGCTTTTGGATTTGATTTTGGTTTAACCAGAATGCTTAGAAGAGACCTGAACTGTTTACTCATACATTTACAGTAAAGAGCATTTTTTTGGAAAATTGCTTATAAATCTTACATCACTTCTAAAATAAAGGAAAACAAATTCTATAGAATTCTATAGCTCAAGTTTTAAACTGTTTTCTCCATTGAGATCAAAGAAACTGCTGAAAAAAATTCTTCTATTTAAGTCCTGTATCTGATACTCTTGCTGTTTCTGATGTTTATATAGGTTATATCCTATGTTATAATATTTTTTGTATTTGTACATTCACTAATGAATGATGATTCAGGTGTGGAATTTCAACCATTATACATGTTTGTGGTCATACGAAGGTTCTTACTTGATTCCAAGATTTTAGAGAATTAAAGACTCTATTTTATTAGGTGCTAGGAAGACTGTATATGGACATGTAGAAATATTGTTGCATGCACTACATGCTCCATTCTTGCCTACGGGCCTTAGCAGAAAATGTTGTGAACTGCTTAACATTTTTGTTCAAGCCACAAAATTTCCCTTCCTCTTGTGAAAAAGAGTTCGCATCGTCGAAGCAAATGCACTGAACATAGTTTAACTCCATTTGCAAACAGAGTCTGGTATGTGACAAATTCACTCTCAGAATATAGACTTTTGGAGAGCACACCAGTGGCGAAAAATGTTGAAAGACAGCCAAGCAAACACAAATTAAAACATAAAAAGCCTCCTTAAGACACATCTTCTATAATCCTCAGAGGAAATCATGTGCATTATTAAAAAAGAATATGAACTACATCTGATTCTAAATTTGGAAAATGTGATGACCATCAGTACTTCTCATTATAAACATAACGTTTTGGGGAGAATATCTGATTGAATATTACCAGCCGAGAGGGAGGAGGAGGTGGCATCTCATTAACAAATCATATCAGCTGTCCTCTGACTGTGGAAACCTGATTCAACAGCCAAAATTGAAAATGCTTATTTCTTCTCATTCTCATTTTATGTTGCAAAATCCTCTCTGTCAGAGTTATACTTCGCACTTAGCCTCCCCTCTTTTTTTAATGTGTGTGAGTAGATTATCTATTAAAATTATGTGGGGATACTCCATTTGAAAAACATGTCAGGCAGGCAATGACATGGATTCTTTCTATGTATTTATTCTGTGGATAATTTTCCAAACTTTTTCATATTAAACATACATGCAGTTAATGTATGCTGCAGCTACATTCAAAGTTATCATTGAATTACTAAAGCACTGTCTGCTCTCCTCATGATTAATGAATGAGCCAGAAGAGATTCAAGGTACTTATTGTGGCAAACACTGGCCTGGGAACCAGTCGACTCTGCGAGCTCATGGCAGGCCAGGCGATTAATTTTTAAGTAAAATCCACAGTTCTCATGGGAGAAAATCATAGTTGTGTAATGGCACTACCAAGAATGAGGTGAACTGGAAATAACTATTGTCTTCAACAAGTAAATGTTATATACCAGAGGCACTGAACAGCACACTGTTGCAAATACACTTGTTAAAAATAATTTATTTCTACTAAGACCTTATTCGTTCAAAGAGGAAAACACTAATTTAAAATGTGATACCCAACATAATTACTTCTGATGACATGGTTTTATAGTTTATCCAAATTTGGCCGGTCAGAGTGAAATGGACATGGTTTAGATTTAAATGCTGCTAGACCATCTATCTGCTGACACAGTGGCAGCAGTAATCTTTATGAATCCATAATGACTGAAAATGCATCAAAACACAATGTTGCAGTGTTGGCTATAATTTGAAAGCTTAACATTTATCAACATGTATTTCTTAACTTAATAATAATTGAACCAACCAAATTTGTTATTTTTGCCTTGTTGACTAGGGTTTCGAATTATGGTCCCTCCAGAGTAATATATCTGAATAGCTACCGACCAGGTGTTTAATGGTGCTCTGGGGCCACTGTCAGGTCAAAATTTTCCCTTAGGTTATACTTCATTGATTCATGGCAAAAACGAATGGTTGGATTTCCTGGGAAGTGGATATCCATGGTCCACAGTGAATGAATCCAATGTTTTTCATGGACCCTACAAACCTTTCTTTTATCGCCACTATCAGGCCAACATTTTCATTTGTACTCAACAAATTTCAAAATCAAATGGGCAGATTGCAATGGCTTTCACTGACAATATTCATGCTTCCAAAAGGTTGATCCTTTTCTGCTTATTGATCGCTTGTGCCATATGCAGCTCCAAATGTCAACTTTGAAAACAACATATCTCATAATCGGTCAGGCTGACAGGAAATTTGAGGGTGAACAAGGCTGATTGAAATGACCCCAGTTTAGCAACTCCCTTTGGATATTTTGTTTTTAGACCCAGCACTGGTGAGGCGTAAAAGCAGAAGAATTGGCAGTATGTTGTTTATTTCATCCAGTAATTTTGTTTTATGAAAATCATGCCCTACAGGGGACTCTTGACTAGTTGTTTTGTAACCAGCCACACGTTTTCACTCAATAGATAGATAGATAGATAGATAGTTAGTCTACTTTATGAACATAAGCTCTGTGTTTGTTAATGTGTGAGTAAGAAAGTAGAATAAAATTACTTCGTTTCTAAATAATTAAAAGTGGCAGAAACTCTATCATGTTGGACATTGATGTAAATTGAAAGAGAAAGCAAATTTAAGTGTGCTGGGTGCCAACTGATTACATAAGCAAAGGGCTGAACAGTTTTATAAAAAATTAACCTTTGGCATTTAATTAAAATATTACGATCACACCAAATGAACTTCTCCTTCAACATTAAGTAAAAAATCAAATGCTATTTGATTAGCATCAAATAAAAGAGCAGCTGCAGTACGAATACCATTTCCACTCGCCTAGTGTCTGATACAGTAGCATATTAATGCCTGTGAGATAGTTCTGACAATGCCAGCTGAATACAGAGCACAAGTCAGGCTCCTGCTTATTCACAGCACATATTTATAGCTATAAAACACTTCAGAAATCAACAGCAACTGGAGATTCTGTTGACTTTTTATCATACATTTCAAATACCAAGGGATCGTGTCTCTTCGGTATATGACAGTACCACTGAGTTGTGTCTCCTTGGTTTCTAAAAAAAAGGTAGAATGTCAAGGGCTAGATATAAAAGTGTATTCCTAGTTTCTAACTTTTTTTTATAGATTTATCTGTTCTGGGACCAGAACATTCAGCAAACACAAGACAAATTTACAGAGTCAAGCATCAGTGCATCATTTAGGCACTGTGCGCAGGCTGTATGTGTGTGTTGGATCTGCCTGGTATCTTACCTAGTTGAAACTGGTCTGAGCTGTTGTTGCAGGTCTGTTGTACTTCCTCGCTGTCCCATCCCAATGGATAGAGTGCACAGCCAGATCCTATGAGCAGACCTGAGAACAAGGGGAAGAGAGAGGGAGTCTGTCAGTGATGAAGGAATCGCAGTAACTTGACCCATCACTGGGGGTTAAAAAATATCACAAAACATGGCTGCAGGCTGACAAGACTCCATTTGTGAGGGGAAAACTGCAGCAAGGACAAACTCTTTTCATCAAGATGTTCAGTCATCTCCTCAAGGAAGGTCTGAACTCTTTTTGTGAGACCTTGCCTGTGTGGGTTTTCATAATTTAAGAATATTTTCATTAATGAGGAAGAAAAAGGCAAAGCAGTGTATTGTTTTTTTCATGGTTGCATCCAGATGTCCAGCAAGGTGAAATCATTTCAAACTCAGGTTTTGTGGGGATTCTCACCCATTCTTTGGTTTATGTTTTAATTAAAATGATCAAACAGACAATGAACTGCTGCTATCCAATAGAATGATGTGTGTGACCTCTGTGATTTCACCTTATCGACGGTTTGCAGCAGAGACTGACAGAGAGCCAGCAATGACCTGTTCCAGCCTCACATCCTATTGTAAAATGACACACATTGTGATTTTAATACTTCATCACATTTTTACTGCAACAAAACAAAGTGCCCCTCTGCCAGCAGCTCATAAAACCGCTGCAAATGAACAACGAACATATGCAAATAGCTTGGCAATTTCTCACAAGCAAAAAAATAGCATTTTTGGTAAGCAATAATTACTGTGAAACTCTGGAAAATCCTTGAGGGACTGTTTTATGTCAGTGATTAAAGAGACTTATGACTGTGCTTAAAGCTGCAAACAGAGACAAGAGTAAAATCTAGTCAAGGCCATTACATTAAGGATTAATATCCTTAATATTAGCCTGCAGCCAGGTCTTGACAAGTTATTCCCTGGATGCCAAGGCCTGTCTCTTGAAATTACCCCGTGAGGGGCCCCTAGTAGGTGGCTCTGCCATCACATTAGCTTAATCCCCTCTGATGTGTCTGCCCTGCTATCAGTTTTGGGATGTGAGGATGGCAGCAGAGGAAGGGAAGGCAAGAAAGCTCTGGCTTCCAACCTGATTACTCCTGCCATCCAGGACTGCCTTATTACATCTAGGCCAGATAACAAGCAGGAATTAATCCACATGCTAATGCAGATGGGCTAGACAAACCAGCTAACATCAGAGGTGGAGTAGGAAAAGTGAAAACGACATCTGTCTTTTGCCCAGTCGCAGCAAAAAGGACGGCGAATGTCATTGGCTCCATTCTAGGAGAAAGCAGAAAGGCTGATTATGGCACCTCTGGCATATTGATGAGAATGAAGGGATATAGAAAGACTAACCAAGTCTGTGTCATTACAGCTCAGGATCTGAGAGGTTCCAGGGCTTGTCATACGTAACAACTTAGCCCTTTGTTCTTCAGACCCTTAAGAGAACTTCAACCCTTAAGAGAGTTTCAAAAGTAACAATAGAGCACTTGATGTAAATCCCTGTACCAGCAACCACTGTGGAACCCTGCTGAACATAAAAACTCACTATTCTACAAGGTACAAAAATGCATTTAGCAGCAAGTGAGCATACACACAGTCATTAAAACGTTCTCAGTTACATAATATTGTCGAACGTGTTTTGATTCAAATGTGTACAAGTAAAGACTATAAAGCATGCAAGCATGATAATGTATTCAGGATTAATATTTAACAAAATCAAAAATTCTCTTTCAAGTGTTGTGTAATACGGCACCATGTATTCAAACTGAAGGAAAAATAATGCAGGCCAGAATGTGGCTTTGTTTCCTGATGTTATTCTATCTTGTGAACTATAATATTTTCATTTGAAAATCAAGATTTGTGGGGATTCTCAATCATTCTTTGAATAGCCCGTTTGTTAAAATGTTCAAAACCATAAAGAGCTGTTGCTCTGTAGAAGGCACCTCAGAGAGAAGAACGGGGGAAGAAAGACTTCAGTGCATAGTTTCCACATCAGGTCAGATGATGATGATGATGACATGGAATGTACAGACAGGAGGGAAATTATTACCACAACAAAGACAAGAGCTCAGTTCCATTGTTTAACCACAAAAAAAATCAAAGGTTTCTGGGTGAACTGTCAGTGTTTTCTTGTGTTTCGGGGATAAACTCACTAAGCGTGCAACACTGCAGTGAGTGAAATCAATGTGAGCACTCACATGTTACTATGACACTATGGAGACACATACTGCAAAACACAAATCCCTGTGGGACCAGATGAAAAAATATATAAACACATTGCTAAAGGTGTAATTCTATTCGGTATCATATGTGGTCCTATATTTCTATTTAGGATCCCCCCTCCCCTATAGTTAATTCTATCAAATCCCATTCTCCACACTCACTATGTGGGTTATGGAGAACCAAAGGTAGGGAGGCTGGTGACTGGTATGTGGGAGAAAGATTACCAAGAATGAAATGTTTATGAGGCAAGCCCCTGGAAAGACATGTGGACTTGTGAAAAGTAACTACCTCAGGCTCCAATTCTCCATGCTTGCTGTTGTAGACTGATACTTCCTGTCCTTATTTCCTAAACCAATGTGCCCTGATCTGCACAAACAGACAGTCTGGGATTTGTGTCATTTAGCATGTTGTTGTCAGCTACAGCAGAGCTTCTTAAACTTTTTGGCCAGCAACCTCTTAAACTGAGGCAACGACACCTCATGGCCTCCCACCACAGACTGCATATGAACACACTTTGTATTATGTAATGTGTTGTTTTCCATTAATCATTTATCTAAGAATTCACTAAATTTTAGTGACCTAAATCTGGTGTCCTGGGCCCCCCCATTTCAGACCTACTCAGCTAACGGACACGCTACAATCACAAGCACTAAACCATATGCTAGATTTCATAAGATAAGAACATAATGATCCCCTCAGGAAAAAATGGTTTGATGTACAAGAAAATAGAGACAGAAGAGCAAAAATAAATAAATAACATTTCACTACATGCAAACAAGGTGATACATTTGGAATTTTGAAATGTTCATGTTCAGTGTTCCACAAATTAAAGAAACCTTCAGTCAATTCAGAGTCACTTTAATTATAACTGACAAGGTTGTAGCGCTGAATGGGGGACACCACTCCAAAAATGTAGTGGCTAAGCTATCCAACTTGCACAATGGAAAATGGCTAGAGTTTGTTCTTTACCAGGACAAATACTAACCTGAAGCAGATGGCTGTTGGTGGTGGTGGGTTGCAGTGGGCTGGACTTGAAGCACAGGCTTTCTGTTTAAGGATTATCTTTATTTTGAATTTTCACTATTGTAAGAATTGCTGTGCACACCATCATTCAAACCACCAACAAAGTGCATTATATTACACATTGTAGTAGTGAGGGCCATATTGTTGCCCCATACTGGCCTGGAGTTAAAACACTCAAACTGGCTGCAACAAATTCACAACAAAGGCATTTTATGAATTTTCCCAAAACCACAGAGCAGCTTTCTTCTCTTTCAATATGATCAACTTCAACAAGCGGCTCATTTTATGTGAGCAGATGGCCATCTCATGATGAAATCATTGCAGAACTACACTAAGCTGCCGTGAGGGTAGAAGTGAAAGTCACCAGAAGCTGTTACTGCAGCTACACGGTAACTACATGACAGTGTAGAACAGATGGACAGAAAACACCATAAATGTGAGAAATCTGCAATCAGCAGCATCCACAGCCATTCTGTATGCCTATTAAGAATAAAAAATTTGTTACCCTTTAGCAGCGTCAAATGTTCCCTCAAGTCAAATGTAAAAATGCCCTATGTCTTCTGAGAGATCAGGGGTCTCATTTATAAAACTGTGTGTAGAATCCTCACTCCAAATGATATTCATACTTATAAAACCATGCGTACGCACATTTGGAAAGGGGGCACCGGAGCTCCACCCCTTTATAACTGATCTGCAGGAACAGGCATGCCTCCTGAGTAGTGATGTCGCTGGCTGGAGGGGGACATACATGCAAGACGGGATGACCCAGGTACTAATTTGGATTCCCTTGTTTATAAGAAGATTAAACCAAATGCATTCCAGTTGTGTTTAAACACTTATTTAGGCTACACAAACAGTCCACTCACTGAACGAGGCTGCCGATGAGTTAAAAGAAATATGACCTGTTTTATGTGACACACACTGAAAGATTTCTTTGATAAAATAGTGTTATATTTTCCGTAACGCGTTTTTACAAGCAGCGCATCACATCTACACACTGGCGCACAGCGTTTGGCTCAATAAGTCAACGAACATGTGATAACCATAGGCTACATGAAACTCGTATCTGCTCGACTGACGCATTGAAAACGGCATCAATTTAAATGTAATTTGTCCTCCTGTTCACCTTATTTATGAGAATAAACTGCACCGCAGTATTAATTAATATGATTCCCAATTAAACTGTACAACATATTTGAGAAACAGATATATCTGTTTGTGTTTATTATCCTAAATCTGGTTCTTTTTGTGTGCACTGCAAATTATCTTAAATTATGTTTTTTTTGCCCACTTTAAGGAAAATCAACGGGTGTTTGTTTATTCAGAAAGGCTTTATGCCTATAATGCACAGAAGTAATATTTCGATTTATTTTACACAATAGTAGGCCTATTCATTTCAAACTGTTTCATACTTCTGCCTTTTGAGTCGCCGTTTCTCATTTCTCCAGTTTATGTGCGTACACATGGTTCAGAGTTTACTTACATGGCCGCACATTTTCCCGTCAAGTTTGTTTTTTATAGATCACAACCTTTGCTTGGGAAGTGGCGTATGCACGTTTTCAGCCGTTTTGTACGTACGCAGCGTTTATAAATGAGACCCCAGGAGAGGTTCAAGCGCCGCTCTATCAACACAAGCCTGGAAGGTTTGTTTGTTTACTTTGCTGATTCTTTGCCAAAAACCACTGTTTGTAAAACCTTAGCCCATTTTGAGCCTTTTTTCAGTTGCTATGGCAGCCAGCTGATACCTGATAGTCTTCTCTGGATGAGGAGATGAAGAGGAAGAGGAGAGGGTCAGAGAGAGTGCACAGT